TAAGTAAATATTTTTAACAAATCACTTTTGATTTTATTTCAAAACTTTTAAAATAATAAATAAATCTCTTTAAAAGTATATACATAATTGAACAACTTTCATAATATGAAAACATGAATATAAATTTTGGTCGACGATTTAGTTGTCAATGCTATTTAGATCACTTTCTTGAAAAGATGGGAAGTAGCAAATTCAAAGATTTTCCTTGACTCACTAAAGCTAAGAGAAATATAGGTCAGACAGAGGTTAATCGATATTTCTTTTAACTCCTAAATCGGTGTCGACAACGGAGAACAATTATCAATTTTTTACAGAGCTTCTAATAGTGGATTATTTATAGTCTACATAGATCGACGATTTTTGATAGACAAAGGTGGACACGGGCCTAGAAAGCACTCCGGCCCATCAACTCCATTTTGTTGACACGCCAATGCTAATGTGACAATTTTTAGGATTTAGGGTTAAAGGTCTAGTCATCAATTGTGAAATTATGAAAAATGAATATTACACATAATTATTAAAGTTTTAAAGAAAAATAAACCAAATTTATCTACAAATATATAGTATCTACAATACAACTGCTTCTATTTTATTCCTCTTCCACTTCACACATTCCTTTCCAGCACATAATAAAGTTTGAGTTGAATTCAGTTGAAACTTCTATACATAACTCTAATCACCAAAGACAATATTTGCCTACAATAAATAAATCACAAAAATTTATTACTAAATTGTTAAAAAAAATATAAACAAACAAACCACATATTGCAATTTAAATGTTTCGTTCATAAACTATGTGTGAAGTACAACAGCACAACACAATAACAATCTTTATCTGTTACCCAAAAAACAAAACACTTCAATCAACTAGTGATTGACTAAATTACATAGGTATGTGACAATTTAGTATTGAAACTTCTATACATAACTCTAATCACCAAAGACAATATTTGCCTACAATAAATAAATCACAAAAATTTATTACTAAATTGTTAAAAAAAATATAAACAAACAAACCACATATTGCAATATTCGCAAGTTATTGGGCTTTGGGGGAATATGGGCTTCTGTTATGGTTTTTATTTGGGCTGAATGTGTTTTAAATTTTGGGTCATAAAAGCAGGTCACAAGTCTGACCCACAAACCCTAAAATTAGGGACGCAAAAGGGCGCCGCTTCTGTGCGATTTACGGTCTTCCACGACGATCCAGTACGATCCGCACATTTTGCGATCCAAAGCAAGCACGAGCACGAAATTGGTGAAGACGATCGTAAACTCGTCCGATCTTACGCGGCAAACCGCGATTTTGACTACCATGATGGAGTTGAAGATATCTTAAGCGATTATGATTTTAACTTGCAAGATTATTTGCTTTAGAGGTGAAAAATAGATTTCCTATACCACTGGTTGATGATCTGTTGGATGAACTCCATGGTTCCACTGTGTTTTCCAAGATAGATTTGAGATCTGGATATAATCAGGTCAGAATGGCTGCAGAGGATATCCATAAAACAGCATTTAAAACCCACTCAGGCCACCATGAGTACTTGGTTATGCCATTTGGCTTAACCAATGCCCCTGCTACATTTCAAGGATTGATGAACTCAGTATTTAGTGAGTTTTTGAGGAAGTTTTTGCTGGTTTTTTTTTATGACATTCTAGTGTACAGCAAGAGTATTGAAGAGCATTTGCTGCACCTACAAACAGTTCTGATCACCATGAGAGCCAATGCCTTATTTGCCAAGAAATCTAAGTGTTATTTTGGGGTTACTAGAGTTGAATATTTGGGTCACTTTATCATGGGCAAGGGAGTTTCTACTGATCCTGCAAAAGTAGAAGCAGTCAGGAATTGGCCTCTTCCTCAGACACTAAAGCAACTAAGGGGTTTTCTGGGATTGGCAGGGTACTATAGACGATTTGTGAAGGGCTACAGCACTATAGCTAAACCTCTGAATGATATGTTAAAGAAGGATGGTTTCACTTGGTCTTCTGAGGCTAAACTTGCTTTTCAGTGCCTTAAGGTACATTTAAGCCAGGCACCTGTTTTGGCTTTACCTGATTTTACACAACCATTTGTACTGGAGGTAGATGCTTCTGGCATAGGGTTAGGTGCTGTCCTGATGCAGAATCACCATCCAATTGCCTTTATAAGCCGAACTCTGAATATGCAGCAACAGTCCTTATCTACATATGAGAAGGAACTCCTTGCTGTTGTCTTTGCTGTCCAAAAATGGAGACATTACCTACTGCCTAAGCAATTTATCATCAGAACAGATCACAGAAGTCTCAAATACATTCTGGATCAACGACTTTCTACAGCCTTCCAACAGAAATGGTTGGTCAAGCTTATGGAATTTGACTTCTTAATTGAATACAAGCAGGGCACTGCAAACTTGGCAGCTGATGCTCTTTCAAGGGTGGAATGTACTGCTATCTCCACTCACCAACCCAATTCTGACTTGCTGGATGCAATTAAAACTTCTTGGCAGGTTGATGATTCTCTACAGAAGCTGATTGTTGAGGTTCAGCTTGACCCTTCTTCACACAAGGCGTTTTCGTGGACAGGTGGGGAGTTAAGGAGGAAAGGAAGGCTGGTCGTTGGCAATGACTCTGAGTTGAGAAGAAAAATTCTGGACTGGTTGCATTCTTCAGCAAGTGGTGGCCACTCAGGTAGGGATGCTACTTATCCAAGGATCAAATCTGTGGTATATTGGAAAGGTTTGTCTAAGGATGTCAGAAGGTTTATCCATCAATGCCCCACATGTCAATAATGCAAGTATGATAATTCTGCATCTCCAGGTCTGTTGCAGCCTCTCCCAATCCCTGATATGATTTGGCAGCACATCACTATGGATTTTATTGAAGGTCTTCCAAACTCCTTTGGGAAGCAGGTGATCTTTGTTGTGGTTGATAGGCTGAGCAAGGCAACTCATTTCATGGCTTTAAAGCATCCATACACTACTTCTGAAGTGGCTCAACGCTTTATGGATAACATCTACAAGCTTCATGGCTGTCCAGCTTCAATAACTAGTGATTGAGACCCGGTTTTTATCAGCAATTTCTGGAGGGACTTCATGGCATCTCAAGGAATTCAGGTCCAATTATCCACTGCCTACCACCCTCAAACAGATGGACAGACAGAAGTTGTTAACCGATGCCTTGAGACCTACTTAAGGTGTATGTGTTCAGATGATCCTACAAATTGGTCTAAATGGCTACCTTTAGCTGAGTGGTGGTACAATTCCACACATCACAGCACTATTAAAGCCAGCCCTTATGAGATTATGTATGGACAGCCACCTCCAGCCTTCTTACCTTATTTACCTGGTGAGTCAAAAATTGAGCTTGTGGACAGAAGCTTACACAAAAGGGAAGAACAACTTAAAATGGTCAAGTTCCATATGAGGAGAGCCTAGGACAGGATGAAACAATTAGCTGATAAAAGCAGATCTGAGAGGACATTTGAGGTAGGGGACTTGGTGTTTGTCAAACTACATCCCTATAGACAAGTTTCTGTGGCTTTTAGAGGCAATGCTAAATTGGCTCCTAAATACTATGGACCATATGCTGTGCTAGACAAGATTGGCTCCGTGGCCTACAAAATACAACTACCTGCTAGATCATCAGTACACAATGTGTTTCATGTGTCCCAATTGAAGAAGTTTGAAGGAACAGCCAGCACATCCACTCACTGTCCAATGACTGATGAAGAAACCAGGATCAAGGAATACTTTGTCGACAACAATGCTTTACGTAGTTGTTTTGAGCAATGATACAGGAACCTGCATAAGACTCCAGCTAGGATCAGCCCTATTAGTAGTTAGTTAGCCACGTGGCACATCATGAGCCACCAGTTAGTTAGAAACCGCCAAAATTAGGAAGGTTGTTAGTTCTGAATTGTTTCTGAAGTGTATATAACAGTTCCATCGATTTCAATTGATTCATTCATGACTTGTAAAAATTCTTCCTGTAAAATTCCTCTCAATTCAATAAAAGTTCTAGTGTTCGGACTCCATTCTCGTTTCCTTGGAATCCCTACCCATTCTTCTTCTTGGTTCTTCTTCGAGACTAGCTCTACCTAGAATAACCATATCAATTGAAATCGATGGAACTGTTATATACACTTCAGAAACAATTCAGAACTAACAACCTTCCTAATTTTGGCGGTTTCTAACTAACTGGTGGCTCATGATGTGCCACGTGGCTAACTAACTACTTATAGGGTTGATCCTAGCTGGAGTCTTATGCAGGTTCCTGTATCAAGCAACCATGTCATGCAAGCATTGCATATTTCTTCTAAAAGTCTTCAAATATCGACTGTGGCTGTGTTATGCTCTTTCTTGAAAGGGAGCTTTAAATTCAGAAGTGCGAGGAAATGGTGGTTATGGCTAATTTTATGAATATTATAATTTACTTGGATATGATACTACTGTGTTTTAAATATTACAAAGTTTGAAGGAAATTGAAATCCACTTATGCATTTTGCTACACTTATTTAGTGATTATTTGGATTGTAAAGAATGTGTCTGTTTCAAGCTTTGTAAGGTTATTCTTGGAAAAGGGAACTTGGCAATATGTCATTTCTATTTTGTTACATGCTTCCTAGGTGTGTGTGTGTGTGTATATATATATATATATATATATTTACTAATAACGTGTTATTCTAATGTTTTACTTTATTATCATTCGCACACTGATGAATGGTATGTTGCTTTCCTGTGGGAATATTGAAAGTTATCATGTCACTCAACTAGTAGCTTCCATTCCCAACTCTTTCTGTATCCTATTACTTTAATTTTGAAAAATATTCCCACAAATATTAAAGTCTAACAAAACATGTTTTTAAGATTATACAGTAATAACATTCTTGGTTATTTTATTCTTGGGAATGCTATTATATCCCTTGAAACAAACACCGCCTAAAGGGTATACTGTAGTGTAAGGCTTGGCTGTGGATTTTTCTTGTATCAATGAATCTGAATGGTGCAAAATTAATACAGGCTGGGACATGGGAAGAGAAAAGTCTAAACAATTGGGCAACTCCAAGAATTAAGGTTTGTATCTCATATCTCGTATTTCTTTTTCTTCTTCCCTTAATGCTTGTCAATATGTATCTATGCCTATGTTGTGAACCTTGTGTGTGATTGTGTTAAACTATCTTAGAAACTGTTTGATTGCATCTTGTAATCTTACTTAAGAGTGTCATGAACATGGCACAGCTAATCATATTTAATTTATTTGTTTCCTGAAGCAATGGTTAATTATTCTATACATTTTTTTCAGGAGTTGCTTATCTCATTAGGCTCCATACAGTTCTCCTTTGGCAGAGCAGAAGTAGAAGATGTTACAAAATGTGTTGGCGATGTGAGTGTATTATAGGCATTACTTTTAACTGCATCTGTTCTTGTATTATAGGACACTGGCATATAATACTTTTGGTCAGTTTGGGACCCTTGAAAATAAGAGTGAAAGATTATGGAATGAAATTTTTATGAAAAAATCATATTTGAAGTCTTCATCCCCAATTTTACAAGGATCCAAACAGACTCCTATTATTTAATTTTTTTTTTAAACTTTTTTCATATCCAATGATTGAACATGTGTTTATATTGCCATTCATCTATTTGTGAATATTTATAATGTTACTGATGTGCTTCAAATTGGTGGAGTCTAGAGAATCAATTTTTCAGCTGAATTTTTTCAAGGTACTGGTTAGGTTCAGTTTCATAGGAAAATGTTGTAACAATTTCACATTGGTTGCATTTTTAATTATTGTAAGTTATTTTGTTACACGCATATATTATGAGTCAGAGTTACCAAAGTTTTAGTTTTAGTTTTAGTTTAGGGACATAGGGACATAAACATAATTATCTAGTTTTGTATATTGTAATGTTGTGTACTATTTCTATCATTCTGAATAAATGTTCTGTTTTTCACATTCAAGATGGTAACAATGCTCTTGATCTGGGAGATATTGCTTCTGCAAATCACGGGCTCTGTTGCAACTGTTGCACAGCTGCCTGCATTGCTATTTTTTTTTTCTTTTCATTTTTGCACTTTCATGGTGCTCAATTCTCTTTGTGGATACCATGATCACCACTGCTCTTATGATTGGAGACCTCATCGGACAAACCACTATCCACTGTTAGTCCAACCACCAGTGATTGGTTTGTTTAAGAGAAGTTACTCTTTGGGTTGCATCAAAAAGGCGTTCATTAGCAAAAATATCTTGGGCTTCCTTCCAGAAAGAATGACATGTCTTAAATGACCTGAGTATTTCTAACACCTTCGGTTCAACTGATTGCCATAGGATAGCACACAGCTAAAAGTTAAGTTTCTATCATTAGACTTATGTTCAATAGGAATAGCACTAACTTCCTTCTCCAAATGGTCATGATATCCTTGACCAAGAAACCATAGTTCCATTGAGTAGACCAAGATAAATAATTTTTCTAGTTCATTTTTGCCGTGGTAATGGTGGGAGTATCAGAAAAAGGAAAAACAGGACCTACGGAGGCTATTTTACTGATAAGGAATAGGAAGAAGGAGATGAACTGTAATCGCACTCCAAAGAGCTTCCCTAATCAATAAATTGAGGGCTAGAACAAATTTAGAAGGAAAGGACGAACACAGCGATGGCAGCGCAACGGAGCTCCGATGAGCATAAGACGGCACGTGGGTCACTAAAGGAATTATATGTGAGAGATAAAAGGAGTAAGAGAGTTTCCTTTACCCCTAGAAATAATGAAGATTTTAAAGATCTCCATTTTGTCACATGATATATATATATATATATATATATATATATATATATATTAGCTTATCGTGCATGAAGAACCGGGTTGTGAGCGAGAGCGACAGTGCTCAAGTTGTCACAGAAGATAATTGGAGTAGAATGAGTGACTTTAAGTTCAGATAGTAAAGTTTGTATCCAAGTGACTTCTGTTGTGGCAAGGGCAAGGCTTCTGTATTCTGCTTCAGTACTAGAGCGGGCAACTACAGTTTGCTTTTTGGACCACCAGGATACGAGATTTGGTCCAAGGAAGATGGAGGCGCCAGATGTAGAACGTCTGTCGTCAGGATCAGACGCCCAGTCTGCATCACAATAGGCATGGATCGAGAGGGAGGAAGAAGAAGAGGCAGGTTGTAGACGGAGACCCCAAGATGTAGTGCCCTTTAGATACCTGAGAATTCTTTTGACAGCTGCCCAATGATGTGTAAGGGGATGGGACATGAATTGGCAGACTTTGTTTACAGAGAAGCTAATTTCGGGTCTTGTAATAGTAGCATATTGTAATGCACCTACAACTGAACGGTAGAGAGAAGCGTCCAAGAAATCTTCAGAGCCTACTTTTGATAGTTTGCTTCCAGAGATCATGGGAGAAGAAATAGGTTTTGAGCCTTCCATATCAGTACGATTCAATAGGTCACGAATGTACTTACTTTGAGTAAGAATGAGAGAACCATCAGGCTGAGACTTTACTTCAATGCCAAGAAAGAAATCAAGATCACCGAGATCTTTGAGGGAGAAGATTGAATGGAGTTGAGATACAAGCGTATGAAGAATTGAGGAATTATTGCCAGTGATTATAATGTCATCAACATACACCAGGATGTAGATGACATTATTGCCCTGAGAGTATATGAACAGTGATGGATCACATTTGCTGGCATAAAAGTTTAATTGCAGCAGAGTTGATTTGAGTTTGTCAAACCAGGCACGAGGTGCCTGTTTGAGCCCATAAATGGCCTTGTGAAGTTTACAGACGAGATTTTTATCAGAAGCTTCAAATCCAGGTGGCTGTTGCATGTAAACTTCTTCTTCAAGTGTTCCATTGAGGAAGGCGTTGTTAACATCAAGTTGTTGAATAGGCCAACGATGAGTGAGAGCAAGGGTGAGAATGAGTCTAACAGTAACGGGTTTGATGACAGGGGAGAAGGTTTCATGATAGTCAAAGCCAAATTGCTGATTAAATCCTTTGGCAACAAGGCGTGCCTTGTACTTTTGGACCGAACCATTAGGATTTTCTTTGACACGGAAAACCCACTTGCAGCCTATAGCAGTGCGATGCGGTGGAAGAGGAACAAGAGACCAGGTGTTATTGTGAAGGAGAGCATTGTATTCTGTTTGCATGGCAGCAGACCAGGTCGGATTAGATAAGGCTTGTTTGGTGGTTTTTGGTTCAACCTGGGTTAATAAAAGGGTGGGTTGGAGGCGTGGTTTAACTATACCATCTTTTGCTCTTGTGGTCATAGGGTGCACATTGTGAGGGTGAATAATAGGAGATGAGGAAGGTTCAAGGTTGGAGGATGTGGGAATGGATAAAGTGGAGGGAGAGGTGTGGGCAGCAGTGTTGGGGCTGTAAGAATCAGAGATTAGGCTTGGTGAGGTTGTTGGTGGATTGGGAGAGGTGAGTCTGGTTGCATGAGTGGGTGTGGGAGTGGGATTTATAGTAAGAGGAACTGAAATAGGAAGTTGGGAGTCACTAGCCTTGGAAGAGGAGAAAAGATCCTTGTAGGGAAATTTAGTTTCATTAAACACTACATCTTTGGAGATGTAGAGACGTCCATCAGCAGCAAGGCATTTGTAACCTTTGTGAGAGGTAGAGTAACCAAGAAAAACGCATTCTTGGGATCGGAATTGAAGTTTGTGTTTGTTGTAGGGCCGAAGATGTGGGAAGCAGGAGCAACCAAAGATTCTAAGAGAGAGATAATCTGGTGGTTGATGGAAGAGCTTATGATAAGGGACAGCATTTTGAATAGATGAGGAGGGGAGTCTATTGATGAGATAAACGGCAGTGAGAAAGGCGTGATCCCAGAACTGCATAGGTAATTCAGCTTGAGCCATCAACGTGAGACCAAGTTCAACAATGTGTCTGTGTTTTCTTTCAGCAACTCCATTCTGATGGTGAGTGTGTGGACAGATTAGACGGTGTTGAATTCCAACTTCATTCAAATAAGTAGTGAAGGAACGATACTCACCACCCCAATCAGTTTGCAAAGCTTTGATTGGGTGGTGATATTGATTTTTAACCATAGCGTGAAATTGTTTGAAAACATTAAAGGTTTGAGCTTTAGACTTGAGAAGGTAGATCCATGTAAAGCGTGTGTGAGCATCGACAAAAGTTACATAGTATTGATATCCACAAGTTGACGTAACCGGAGCAGGTCCCCACAAATCGCTGTATACTAAATCAAAGGGTGTATTGTAAATAGTTCTGGACAGATTGGAAGGTAATCTGTGGGATTTACCAAGACAACAAGGAGTGCAGAAATTTGATTTATTATTGCTCACAAGTTGAATGTTGTAGTTCCGTGAAACATGTTTCATTACATCAACATTGGGATGTCCTAATCTAGAGTGCCAAGTGGCAAAGGAAACAGGGCTTGTTGCTGCAGTATTGACAGAAAAAATTCTGGCCAGTTGCTGTTGCTGGACAGATTGCGTACTGGGATTAGGAAGGAGTGCAGGGAACTTGTACAGGCCATCTGAACCAACCGAGCCTTGGAGAAGAACTTCATTAGTGTCCTGTGATTTGACCAAGCAAATGTGGGGGTGAAATTCAAAATATACAGAATTGTCCTTGGAGAATTGGCTAACACTGATTAGATTTTTTGTGATGGATGGTACAAATAGAAGATTGTTTAGAGCAAATTGAAACTTAGGGTTGATTGGAGAATGAAAAGTGGTAACACCTGTGGAGTTAATGTGAAGCCCTTGTCCATTGCCAACATGGATTTGATCGGGTCCTTCAAAAGGAGTGAATTGATGAATATTTTGAGAAACATTGGTAACATGATTTGATGCCCCAGAATCCGGATACCAATTGTTGTTGCTGGAAGAGGAGGATGATGCAATCATGGCTTGAGGTTGTGGCTGGGTGGAGGTGAATTGGACTTGAGGAGTAAATTGAGGTCTAGGTCCAAGAATTCCATGCTGATAAGGAGAAGACAAGGTAGGTTGATTGTTGTACCATGCGCCTGGGTTTGTATGTTGGTTGTTGGAGGGGTACGCGGGTGCTTCAAGGGGTGAGGATGGGACATAGGTTTCATCAAAACGATAATAGCAAGCAGAGGCAACATGTCCATACCTGTGGCAGACTTGACATTGGTACCCAGCGAATCTGCCTCGACCACGTCCTGCCCAATTGGAGAAACGACCACCACGAGAATTGGTACGACCCCCTCGACGATGAGAAGGGCCAGACTGATTGTTTTGATGAGTAAGGTGTGCTTGTGGGTTTGTGGCAGATGGGTCAGGTTCAGTGACGGCAGTGGTGACATTAATGGAGGCAGCGGCTTTCTTCTTGAATTTGTCAAGACGGGATTCATGGCCAAGGAGCAAGGTCTCGACTTCATCAATGGTTAGAAGGTCAAAACGGCTACTAATTAGAGACACGGTGGATTCGTATTCTTCGGGAAGACCTTCAAGAATTATATCAAGATGTTCCTTTGGAGAAACTGAGTCGCCTATGGCTGTGAGGGCATCAACTAGGGTTTGAATTCGAAGCACATATTCAGAGATGGACAGATTGTCAAGGATGGTGCTGCGAAGTTCATTGCGCAATTGGCGGGCTTTGGCATTCATATGAGAGTGGAAGTAGGTGTGTAACAATTATATATATATATATATATATATATATATATATATATGTAAGCAGAGAAAGATACACCATCAAAACAAGATCTAGCCTATGGACCTAGACTACCCTATGAATGATGGGAGGCGGAAACAACTTTATATAAGCTGTATAACAAATATTAAACAACTGTTTTAACAAAAACCTTAACAAACTTAGGGTGCTTGAATGGCTATAAATGAAACCAGCAAAAGAAATTGTCTGCTGAATTGTTTTTGTTGATATTGGGAAGCTTTCCAATGTCCTCCAACATTAAATCTATGCAATGGGTTGCACATGGAGTCCAAAAAATTTTCTTCCTTTTTGCCTCCAACATCTTGCCAGTAAGAACATAATTACTCCCATTGTCCATGATGACTTGGACAACTTTTTTCTCCCCAATATCCTCTACAATAGAGTCTAGTAATTCAAATAGCTTCTTTCCAGTCTTCACAAAATTAGACTCATCAACAGAATTGATGAACATTGTCCCTACAGAAGAGTTTACCAAAAAATTAATAATGCATCTTTGCTTCTTGTCCATCCAAGCATCTGACATGATAGAACATCCAAAACTAGCCCAATGTTCCTTTTGACTCTTCATCAATTTTCCGTATACTCCATCTCCTTTTGGAGAAATGGAACTCTTATCTCATAATAAGATGGAGGTCACAAATGTGGTCCAAAAGATCCAATAGGTGCAACCATGTTATGAAAGCTCTCCAATTTGATCATGTTAAAAGATAGTACAGCTTGAAACCAAAATCGGGCTATATATTTGTGGATCCTTGTTGTAGCTTCCTTGTCACAACTCTTCCTTATACTTATTTGCTTCAATTTCTCCTTCCCCTTTTTCATAGCAACCTTCTTCCTTTCATTGGCCCTAAGTGTCTCAACTTCTAATTCTCTTAAATCTCCCTCTAATGTATAATCTTCACTACCAAGAGTCACATCTTTCATTATTCTCTGGCATGACTCATTTTCTTTCATCTTTGTATTTTTCTCAAGTGCCCACAACTCATCTTTAACCTCTTCTGGAACACTTTGACAAGGTGCAACATTTTCCTTCTTTCCCATTAGATGTTGCTTTGCTCTTGTAATTCCTCCTTTCATGATTTTTTTTTTTACAATAATTGCAGGCAATTTCATTGGTATCATTCTCTTTGGTAGGATGACAATGTTTCCATCCTATGTCTGTTCTCTTAATGGAGTTTGAGGATGTTTTGACTTTGGCTTGGAATTGGATTGCTAGACATTGTCCTAAAAAATAAGGAAAAGAAAATAAAAATGAAAGAAAGTTACAACTATGATGTTAAAAAAATGTAGTGAATAGCATAAATTTTTAGAAGTGTAAAGATTTTAAGAAAAGGATGAAGGAAAGCTAAAGCAAGGAAATTAAAATGAAAGAAGTATAAAACAAACTTAAAATGTAGGAGAGTGTAAGTGTATAAAATCATAATTCATAAAAAGAAATGCATGCACCAACCACCAAGTCAGACATTAAAAAAGAAAACGAAAGAGATGAGAAGTGAAATAGCTCTCTCACTCACGGAGATTGAAACGAAAGGGAAAAGGAAAAACCTTAGTTGCGTCGTCAGAGTTAGTTGCCGCTGTGTCAGTGACCAGGTTCACGTCGTCTGTCGGAAAGGTGACCTGGGCAATTGTTTCGCCGACCAAAGGACTTCGTGTTCGTTACGAAAGGAGGTTTCTTCGTGAGTTGAAAGAGAGGTGAGTGATGGAAATGGATTAGGGCATAACTTACACCTTTGATTTCTCTAATTTCTTTATGGGCTCGAGTCGGGTCAAGGCCCAAAAAAAAGATTTTTCGAAAAAAATTCGTTGTGACCACCATAACCGCCATCTCCTTTATGGATGAATTGTCCATGGCGGCTGAAATGGCGGACGACGCCACAAAAAGCTATATTGCGGCTGGCGAATGGCGATCCTCCTCCCATCCACACCGCCATTCTGCTATAATGGTGTCGTAACTAATTTTTGGTAACCTTGTATGAAATTAGTTCCCATTTTGTTTTTTTGGTCCTTAAAAATTAAGAAATCGTGCTTGTAGCCTTGGTGAGGGATTAATGATGCCTCACTATTGTTTAATGTAAAGAATAAAAACAAATAAATTAAATGGGGACTAAAATTTAAGAAACATCAGATTTCAAAGATCATAAATATGCTTGAACTCTCTTTTTTAATGTGTTATTCCTTCTATTTACCTATAAGTTATCTTTGAACTTCTCCAATACCAAATGTTAATACTTTATGCTCTTCCCATTTGTGGTGAGCTACATAGTTGATACTTGATGCTTGATACTTGCTATTCACCTGAGTTTATATTCAAAAGAAGAAACAAAAGGAAAGGAAAACTTTAAATATTGTTGCCCAAAAAAGTTTTATATTTCTACAATGGCTGATATTTCATGATTGTACATATGTTAGGCATTCATGGTGATAGTTCGGAACAAGAAACGTGTTGGTTACACATATGAGTTGACCTTAAAAGTCAAAGGTAAGGTACTATCAACCATTCCTTTTAAGGACTTAAATCTAACTGTTCTATATTCCTTTTTATGCATTTCAATCTAATTACTTAGTAAGCCATGTTGATTTGCAAATGGAATTAGGGGAATGGACCATACAAGGAGAGAAGAAGTTCATTGAGGGTCATATAGATGTTCCAGAGTTCTCATTTGGCGAACTAGATGATTTGCAGGTACCTCTTAATGTTCATTGAAACACTTTCTAGTTACTAAAAATTGAAAATGTTTTATGTTGTTTGAAATAAGAGTTGATTTTAATCATTCATAGTTGAGAAAGTAGAGATGATAATATAAAGATGTGTAGGAATTTGATGCACGCACCCTTGTTATCTTTCACAATAATAGTAAACTCATATGAATATGTACCATCTTCCACTAGTTTAGTTGCTATAAGAATGGTGGGAAGCTCAACAATCCACCAATTCCACAACATTCCTATGTGTTATGGACCTTCAAACCTTAAATGTTTTTGTGATCAATTTTTTCCTTAATGAAGTGTCAATCAATCTCCACTTGTTTTGTTCTATCATGGTGGATAGGAGTACAAAATAATATGGAAAACTTTCATATATTATTCTCCTGTAAAAGTATTGCTTATATAGAAATATTAAATTAAAGACTATTCCTTGATTCAAGGAATAATAAAAGGAAACAAATAAAAAACAATAATAACAAAGATCTTATTTTTAAAACAAAATAAATTAAATCCTTATTTCCTCTAATAACTAGTCTGTAATATTTTAATTCCTACAACCCCCTTAAGTTGGTACATTGATATCTATCATGCCCAACTTATCAAACATTCAAAAATTGGGTCTTGCTAGGCTCTTGGTCAAGATGTCAATTGTTTGTTGATTGGAAGGTATAAATGGCAAGCAAATTATTCTGGCATCCAATTTTATTTTATAAAGTGGCGATCAACCTCAATATGCTTTATCCTATCATGCTAAACAGGATTGTGAGCTATGCTTATTGCAGCCTTGTTGTCACAATACAACTTCAATGGTTGTACAATTGTCATCTTCGATTCTTCTAGCACTCTAAATCCACAGACCTTGAAAAATTCCTTTGGCCATTGCTCTAAATTCCTCTTCTGCATTGCTTCTAGCAATAACTCCTTGTTTCTTGCTTCTCCAAGTTATCAAATTTCCCACACATAGGTGCAATATCCTGAGGTAGATTTTCTATCAGTAACAGACCTGGCCCAATATGCATCAGTGGAAACAACAACATTCCTTTCACTGTGTTTTTTGAAAAATAGACCTTTACCTGGGTTGCTTTTTAAGTACCTCAAAATTCGATTGACTACCTCAAGGTGTTCTTCATGAGGAGAGTGCATAAACTAACTCAACACTCATTGAAAAAGCAATGTCAGGTTGGGTGTGAGAGGTAAATTAGTTTTCCAACCAACCTTTTGTATCTTCCAACATCAACAGGAACACTACCTTTTTCCCAAAGCTTCACATTGGGATCCATAGGGGTATCTACTACTCTACAACCACTCATTCTTGTTTCCTCCAAGAGGTCCAAAATGCATTTTTGTTGGGAAACAACAATTCCTTGTTATGAGCGAGCAATCTCCATGCCAAGAAAGTATCTCAAAGGTCCCAAGTCCTTGATCTCGAATTTTGTTGGCATGCTCTTTTTCAACCTCTCTAATTCTTCTTCATCTTTTCCAGTAAGGATGATATCATAAACATAGACTATTAGTGCAACAACTTTTCCTTTAGAGGACAATTTTGTAAATGACGTATGATTTGCTTGCCCTTGGGAGTATCCTTGTCTTTTTACTAATTGAGTGAACTTCTCAAATTGTGCCCTTGGGGGTTGTTTAAGTTCATAGAGAGACTTTTTTAGTTTACATAAGTTTGACCCAAATTTGTCTTCGAAGCCTTGGGGACTGTCCATGTATACCTCTTCCTCCAAGTTTCCTCCAAGTTGCCGTTGAGGAAGGCATTTTTTTACATCTAATTGATGTAATGACCAATCTAAATTAGCTTCAAGAGATTAGAGAACTCTAACAATGTTCAACTTTGCAATTGGGTTGAATGTCTAGTTTATACCATAGGTCTGAGTGAATCCCTTAGTCATGTCTTGTATCTTTCCACCTAACCATCAGAATTACATTTCATGGTGAAAATCCATTTACAACCCACAATATTCTTCTAGTAATGGCATAATACTCCAAGTATGATTCTTCTCAAGGGCTCTCATCTCCTCAAGAACAACGTCCTTCCACTTTGGAACCTTTAGAGCTTCCTATACATTGTTTGGAATTTCTACACTAGGCAATTAAGAGGTAAATGCAAGTATGCAACAAAGGATGAAGACAAATTTGAGTATGACACAAATTTGGATAGGAGATGCTTAGTACAAGATCTAACACCTTTGCAAAGGGCTATAGGTATATTTATTTTGGAAGACTCAATTTGATTATTGGATTTAGGAGATTTACCTGTATCAAGTTCATTGATTCAATTCTCCCTCAGTTCAGACTCATGGCAATGTTGGAGAGTTTGTCCATCTTCAATTTCCACATTTGAAATATGTATAATGGTAAATCATTTGAAATATGTACCATAGGAAAATGCTCTTTAAAAGTATGAAAAAGAGTTTGAAACTGTAAAACCATGGATGACATGCCGTTAATTAAATATGCAGTCAAAATGGCCTCACCCCATAAATATTTTTTTAGTTGAGAAGAGTAAAGCTCTAGCTACCTCTAGAAGATTTTATTTTTTCTCTTTGCAATCCCATGTTTTTGGGGTGTATTAGCACAAAAACTGTGATGGACAACCCTATTTTCAAGAAAAAGATTTCCTAGGATTGTGTTAAAATACCCCTTCCCATTATCACTTTTGGATACTTGTATATTTGTTTGAAATTGAATATGCACCATTTTAAAGAAATTTTGTACAGCTTGTTCAACCTCTGATTTTTCTTTTAATAAGTACAGCCAACAAAGTCTAGCGTGGTCACTTATAAAAGTGATGAACCATTTTTTGTTGGTGTGTCATTATTTTATTTGAGCCCTAAACATCACTGTGAATAACAATAAATGGCTTTGATGATTGTGTTATAATAGTTGTTTATTATATGTTGTACAACTTTATAAAGTTGCTTTTTGGCCCTATCTAGCTTAAGGGTTAAGGAGTATAGGTTGTGTAGCCTTTTTCCCTTTTTTTGTACTTGTTTTGATCTTTCTTATATATATAATATCAACTAAGAGAGTTTCACTAATTTTTTGGCCATTCTTCAAATTTCAAGTTGGTATTAAAGCGAGTTAAATCTAGCTTTATTTCAATCACCAATCCACCACCATTGTCTATCGTTTGCCACTGTCGGCCGCCACCGTTTTCTCTAACAAACTTAGGGTTAGGTGTTACGTTACATATCTGATACCCTTTGGTCCCTCACGGAACACTGGCTATATCATCTAGCCCCATGTCAACCAATCCAACTCCTCCAGCTGAACGCAACCCAACCCAAGAAGTTGTGTGCCCTAAAACTTGGGCACACTCCCTCATGTGCCAATCGTTGGTGCTTTGTCTGATGTGTGCATCTCTCGCGTTGCTTGCTAGAATCTTGTTGGACCACCTCCAAAAGCTTTGTCAACTCCTTGTCACGATTCTACCCTCGATTCTCAATTTCAACCTACTTGATGAAGTGGGTTGTGGTGTTCAAACCCAAACTTCATCGTTGTCCTTCAAATGGCTTTTGTAGGTCCTGTTTCGCTTTTTTCTAGTACTCTTACCATTACCACTAGGCATGGCAACTGGGCGAGGTGGGTGTGGGTTTCATGATACTCGTCTTCATTCGTGCGGCTCAAACTCAAACACATCCCCATCCCCAATACTCAATGGGTATGTAGTTTGCGTCGCATCCTCATTCCTGTTGGGTATATCCATATCTATACCAGTCAAAATTTAATTAAATATATTTTTTTTTGCAAAAAGAAAAACTACTCATGACTTTCTTTGCTTTATATGAAGACAGTAAAGTAACTAGGGCACTGGCTATCTCATACCTTAACTAAGAGACTTCACAATAATTAAACAACTACAAATGTTTCACTCCTTAATAAAACAACCATAATTAAAATTTCATAAATTAAGCAACCACACATAATTGAAATTTCACAAATCACAAATACAATTCATCTTGCAAGTGGAAAATGTTGAGTAATGTCATTAAGCTTCAATCCACCTATAATAAGACAATTGAAAAATAATTAGAAATGAGTAATGAAATTGAAAATTTTAAAAATTAGAATTGAAAAATTAGATTGGACTAATGAAATTGAAATCCACCTAAAACATCTATTAATTTTGCTCATGGTGAGTAATTCCACTTGCATACAAGAAAAGAAAAAATTTATATATGATAAATGAAATTGAAAAATTGTAATACTAAAATATAATATACCTTCATCATCATATTCACTTTCACTCATTAAAATTATTTTTTTCGTCAATGGCTTTAGCACCTACAAACATCAAATATAGAATATTAGTTGAGAATTGATACGAAATTAATGATTAACCATGAATGCTAATATAATTTTTTTAATAATTTATCTAAATAGTCTGAGTTCCATAGTCAACTTTTAGTACACATCAAAGCTTCTACGGTAGCATGATTAAGTCGACTATGATTAGGACTTAACATTTGACCATTGGTACTAAATGCAGATTCAGAAGTTGCAATAGTGATTGGAATAGCTAAAACATCCTTTGCAATTACTTGAAGTGTTGGATACTTCAACCCATTTGTTTTCCTGCATAATAAAATATGAAAATTTGATGTAATAGGTAAATTATCTTCCTCCAAGTGATGATCTAACCCTGTTTTCATAGATGAAGTTCTAGCTTTCTTCTTTTTGGCCATGAACTTGACAAAATCACTCATGTCATTATCACCAATCTTTCCCTCCTTAAATGATGAAAATCCAGAAGAAGACCCTTCTTTCTTTTTTGCTTGATATTCATAAACCAAATCATAACACAATTGACGAATTCTACTAATTTCCATATCACAATCAATATCCATACAATTTATCAAAATAATATTCAAGCAAATCCATTTTTGTACCTTGGATCTAAAATAAAAGCTGCTCCCATGATATTATGAATGGCACTCCAATAATTTTCAAGTTTCTTTAACACTTGTTCTGCCATATTGTGATTGGTTTGATTTTGGAGACTTTAACCGTTTATCTGTTGCAAGCTTAATCTCATGAATTTTCTGGAAAAGAATGTTGGCAATTGGGTATTTGGATCCAAAAATTATTTCTGTGATATCATTAAACAAGTTCAATCTCCGAAAAACATCTTTTGCAAACTCCCATTGTAATTCAGTTGGCAAACAAGTGTATATAGATTCACACTACTTTAACCAAAAAAACACATCTTTATAAGTTAAAGCAATATTTAGCATCTTAAAAGTAGAATTCCATCTTGTTGGACAATTTAAAGTTAATTTTTGGTTAAAAGGAATTCACAATTGTTTAGCAGTTTCCTCAAATTTTTTCACCCTCTTAGATGTTGTCCAATAATCTACACTTACCCAAATTTTTTCCAACTCTTCTTTCACAATCAAATTGAGGATATGTGCACAACAATGCATATGAAGCCAAGATCCATTATAAACGAGTCTATCTAACTGCAAATTATACTTAATTTTCTCAATCATGCTATCATTTGTGTTACAATTGTCCAAAGTAGTGGTGGATAATTTTGTATCAATATTCCAGTCCAACAAACAATCAATCAATGCATTGTAAAGTCTATTAGCTGTGTGAGGTGCAGGAACATAAATGAACCTATACATTTAATCATATTGTCATATAAAAAGATAAAAATCTATAAAGCCCGGATACTCCAAAAATGGGAAAGTATTAGTGTCGTACTCATATCAAACATTGACATGGCTTGGATATGCCAAGATTTGTATCTAAGGATTATCCGATTATTTTTTATTTTTCTTTTTTAAAAAATTATTGGATACAACTCTGGTACAATTCACAATGGCTGGATATGACTTTATAACATGTGATACGGCTTGGATACGGTGTTTTAACCCAAATGTTCATTTTATTAATATTTTAAATTTTTATTTAGTTTTAAAATTTTGAAACAGAAAAAACCTTTTAAAAGTTAGTATACGTGCTCTACAAAGACACATTTCTCTCCTTTTTTACCAATATTTTATATTTATATAAAATTTTCTATTTTTTAACGTATCTATAACATTGTATCCTTAATTTTTTTATAAAAAAAAATTGTATCCCTGTATCCATGTCGTATCGTACTCGTGTCATACTAAGTATCTAGGCTTCATAGATAAAAATATTATGCAAAAACAATTAGTGAAAAAGTCATAAATTAAAGAACTTTTTACCTCAAAATGATGCTCTGTTAGATCCAATTGCCATCAATGTAGTGAGTTGTGATAACCATATACCCTTTCTTTTGATTGCTTTTAGTCTATATATCTGATGTAATTGCCACTCTTCCTTCATTTGTATCTATTAGCTTTATGACAACTTATTTTTTTATCTTCATAGATACTAGGTATCTATTTCTGCATTGTATTTCTTGAAGGAAGTTGAAACAATGGTTTAATTGCTGCCACAAATCTTATAAGCCCTATATGGTCCACTATTAAAAGCAGATATTCATGCAATATAATCATAAATCATCAATGCAAGTTCTCTCCTTGCATTTTCTTCATTATAACTACCACATGCCAATTCCTTTTTACCATGGCTTGAAACCTTAGAAAAAAGTATTGTTTGACCCCCCTCCCACTTGTCAAATTCTTCCTTAAAACACATATATCCAAATGGTGTTACAAGTGCTTTGTTCCATTCCTTCTTCTCCCCTAAGCAATTTCTTGCAATTGTTACATTTAGCTTTAAGTCTTCCATCAATTTTAATCTTTTCAAAGTGTTGCCACACAACACTTTTTAGCCTCCCTTTCTCTGTTTGTGTTGTTGACTCTATTTGATCATATGCTTATGAAAGTGCTTGCAATAATTCATTCATCAGTTCTTGAGTTGTACCAGTAGAACCTTGACATGGAATTGGTTGTTGTGAAGACTTAGGGGTTGGTTCTTGTTATGGCTGATCTTCACTGTTCATTTTCTCTTTAAGAATGCAAGTTAACACCATCAAAGGTGACAACCAATTAAAACAGATTCATAAAGTCAATTAAAATATAAACATAAAAGTAAACTTTTAATTGTTAACATGTAAACCTTAAAAGATTCACTTGAAAGTGAACCTTTAACATGTAAACAAATTCATATAAACATATTCATACCTTTAAATTACTCCCTCCGTTTTTTTTTCATAGTCGTTTTGTCAGAATTTGTTGTTTTTTTTTCATTGTCATTCTACTAAATTCAATGACTTATTAATTTTTTTTCTTCATTTTTACCCTTGATAATTAATACATGTTTACTGAACAATGTGTGTATTTATTTTTAATGTCTACCTATTTTTTTTCCAACTACCCACATAAAGTTAATGTGCATTTATAAGAGCAATATGTTCCCAACAAAATACTATAAAAAAAATAATATAACCATTAATTCATGAGCAGGTATAATTAAATACAGTAGGTTACAGTTCACGTGTAATCAATGCATTAATAATTAATGGAGTAGATTGCAGTTCAACAGTCTCAAAAATGCAAAAAAAAAAGGGTAAAATAGGAAAGTAAGTAATAAATATTTTTGAAAACTAAAATATCAATAATTTCCTTAAGTCCCGTGCAAAACCTTAAACAACTATGAAAAAAAAACGGAGGGAGTATATAGATAGATTTATGAAAGATTTATAATAGATTCATAATATTCCTACATTCCTTTAAATAAGATTTTGAGACATCATTTCTCATGCCAATTCCTTATCACTCTTAAGGTATTTTCACGCCATAATATTAAAGTAGAGAGAGAAATTGAATGACGTGTATAAAATACTGTTTTGCTAAGTGTCACATAGAAGGAAATCTAAAAAGAGGAAAAATTTCTGGGGTTATTCCATGAACTTATTAGACCCTATTCTGAGATACAAAGATAAAACACCTTAACAATCTTGAAATTTCGAATAATAGCAGCAATCAAGGAGTCATCGGGATCTCTTCCACTCTCCAACAACTTGCGTGTGGAGCCATCAACCTACAATTGTGTAATATCCTATATTAGCAACAGACAGATTACAAATTAATTGCTAACCCATCTAACAAACGACCAAGATTCTGGATTTGTCCATTTAACAAAGTTAAGTTATACCACAATTATCCAAGTCATATCTTTTAAACATTATTGTGCTTTAAACCAACCTCAAGTGGGATAGTACTTGTAATTTAAAAGGAAAACAAATGGTACTCAAAATCTTTTTATACTGTTCAGCAAATATTACACCAAGTTTTCCATCAAATTCCAATTCTGTACATGATTTCTCTTTAACCACAAAAGAAAACAAAGAAGCCACATTTTCAGATCAAGAGAAAATAAAAAAGCCAGAAATCTTCACGATATCAACTGCAAACAAATAAATTATCAAATATCCAGCAGCCCATCCGTCCAGGCAAATCATACATAAATCCAAATGTTATGGTTTGCAAACAACTTATTGATTCCTTAATACTCAGATTAAAATTTGCAGCATATTTGGTAAACAAATTCATAAAGCATGGAGAGGGGACTCAAATGTTCCATAATGTTCCTGAATCAAGAATCACAAGAATCACTTAAATTTCAATTTGCCCAAAAACTATTCATAAAGTTTGGGGAGGGGACTCAAAAGCAAATGATCAACCCCCTAATCGCGATGAGCAGCCCCCAGTCGTGGCAGCAAGACAAAACCCTAACCGCAACGATGAACCCTTGGCTGCCATGTCACAAAGTCCTAGCCACGGTGTGACGACCTATTTGCTACACGAGGACCCCCAACAAGCAACAATCCACCATGCCATAGATTGAGAGGGAAAGAGAGAGACATACTAGTCATAGACGACCCCCAACAGGCAACAATCCACCATGCCAGAGATTGAGAGAGAGAGAGAGAGAGAGAGACATACCATTTGTAGAAGCTGGAGGAAGCGCGCTCTGTCATGGGGAAGTCGGTTGGAGGGAGGAAGCAAGTTCTTGGCTGCTAGGTTTGACGCGAGCTCGTGAGAGGAGTCTCTTAACCTAAGCTAAGCTCGTGAGAGGATTCTCCCAAACACGTAAGGGATAGGAAGTAAGTAAAGGTTTAGTAATTAGTAAAATGCTTTAAAAAAATTAAAACGGGTACGAGTATAGGAGCGGGGATGGGGATAGGGACACGGTGGATAAGTATATACTCATCCCTGTCCCTGGTTTAATAAATTGGGTTTTACCCATACTCGGTCAAGCTGGATATTCTTCGTCAAAGTCGAGACGAGTTTGGGTATTACCATACAAATTTATTTGTCATTCCTAATTACCACTACAAAATTGATCTGGAAAAATTATTTGTCTTGGTCTACCTCAATGGAGTTGTGGTTCCTTGGTCAAGGATATCGTGATCATTTGGAGAAGGAAGCTAGTGTTATTCTTATTGAAAATAAATTTCAGTGGGAGAAACTTGACTTCTAGTTGTGTGTTGTTTGGTTCCTTGGTCAAGGATATCATGATCGTTTGGAGAAGGAAGCTAGTGTTATTCTTATTGAAAATAAATTTCAGTGGGAGAAACTTGACTTCTAGTTGTGTGTTGTTCTGTGGCTGTTAGTTGAGCCTGATGTATTAGAAATACTTGAATCATTTAAGACATGTTATTCTTTTTGGAAGGAGACCCAAGATATATTTTTGATACAACTCAAAAAATAGCCTATCTGAAACAAACCAACCATGATAAGTTCTCACATGTAGCTAAAGCTTGAGCTGCTATAGAAGAACTGAAAAGATTTCTTTTGGATAACTCATTGGAGGGCGTCAACAAAAACTTGATAAGTTATATATGGTCCTGATTTTAAGAATTTTTCATTCAAATTTTGATCATGTACATGATTAAATTCTGGCTAGTGATCTAATTTCTTCCATGGACAACTTAGTCACTAGACTTCTTTTTGTTCCTACCTTAGTGAAAGATGCAAATTCATATGAAACTATTGAAACTTCAGCAATGATAGCACCTTGTGAAAGAGAAGGATGTAGCAATCGTGGAGGACATGGTGGTAGAAATGGATATCCTTAGTGTACATAATGCAAGAGAATGGTGGTAGAAGTGAATGTCCTCAGTGCACATATGTCCAGCTGCTACCAATGACAATTAAGTGTGTTGAAATACTCTATGCCTGAGGACTCTCCTTGTCGAATATCATGAAGTATGTTTTTGATCTCGAAAATGGTAGAGATGTTGTCTATGTTGGAAGTCTCCCTCATTGCACCCTATATCTCTTTGGTTGTGTCATAATACATGAGATTTCCCCAATTTCATTGTTCATGGTGTTGAGCAGCCGTGACATGACTAGGCTGTTTTCCAGTTGCCATTTTTGGTGTTTGGGTCCCCCTTTTCAGTGTCTTGGAGTCTCTTGTACTATAACCTTCCTTCCCTTTTCTTTGGAGATTTATCTTGATTGATCACACCAACCAGGTATAGTTATGACCATTTAATTTGTGGCCAGTGTTGGGAAGAACTGACCCTTTGATGGAGCTGGTTTGGAACGACCCAGTCTCCACCTTGGTTTAACTTTCTGGTTTCCCCTCTTCCATGGCTGGTGGCACTAGGTTTGTGATGGTTCTGATCAAACTCTAATACCATGTGGAATTATGGATTATATTTCTTTGAATAATACTTGATACAATATGAGGAATAAATAGGAAAGGGAAAATAAATCTGCACATTTATCTTGCCCAAAAATCAGGGAATAATTACCCTATAAATGCTATGACTAAATAATAAAGGAAATTGGGAATAATACAGTTTCTAATCACAATTAATTCTGGTAAGTTGTACATAATCAGAATTAGATTCTGATTGATTTGTTCTATTTTCAACAATTTTCTTTGTGATAAAAACCCACAATGCTATGTATAGAAAGTTCCACAGCTGTTGTATTCAGTATTCTCTTTGATTAATTGGCCTTTCCCATTCTTTCCCAAATCTCCACCAAAACCATTACTTAATATTGTTTATTCTTAGAAATAATGACCTTGACTATATTTTTCCTCGCGTTTTTAGTTGTTGAAATATTGGATTTTGATATAGCCCAATCGTGTGGCCTGATCCATTTTGCTGACCTCATCTTGTGTGATAGTTCGATTGTTGTTTGTTTTTGTGGTTATCTTGTTGCCGTATACATTACAGCATTCCTAGGATCTTGACTTGGCTGGAATAAATGATCAATTCCGAAAGCTTGAGCTCAGCCCGTTGAGTATGAGATATTTACTCACACGGGCACCTGGAAATGTTTGATTTGTGCTTCCTGATTCCTGTGATAAATTATATTATGCTTAGTTTGTTCTTATCAGCTACTAGTCACTTATTTCTGGTTTTCTTAAATATGATTTTAGTCTTTTATAAAATAAACAAATTTTGTTTTTGGTCTTTGTAAAATGTTTTTTTTTATTTTTTATTTATCTCTTTTAAATCTAAAACCATTATTTTTGGGTCCTAATGATTATTTTAAGGTATATAAAAAATATTTGTTTTAAGGATCTATATTTTTTTTTGAAGTGTCACTAATTAGCATGACACTACTAACAGTTATGAATAAAATCTAGGATGGTCACCTAACCTTTTACTCCCTCTAGTCTTTATTATATGTACTTTTAACTGAATCACACCGATCAATATAAATAATTATATTAATTGATTTTAATGAATAATGTACCAATTTTATCCTTCTTATTTATCATTAAATTTTCATAAATGGAGGGAAGATATTATTTCATATCAAAGTTTATGCATTAATACCAATAATATGGATAAATGACAATTGGAGATTTTAACGGGTGAGAGAGAAAACATAGATTTCTCACAATATCTGATAGGGAAAAAGATGAATAATAAATTTAATGTTTTATAGAAAATGTAATGTGTCTTATAAAAAAAATGACTATGATTTCTTTCTAAATTATCTTGGAATAAGGATTGGAGAGAGTAATAAACAAACAAGAAATTAAAAATATTACATAATAACAAGAATTAAAAATAATTTTCATATTTTTTTAGAGATATAAAATCAAAATTTGTCTATTTTGCGAAAATTAAAACGATACATAAGTGGTGTAAAAAAGAAAACATACTCCTTTTGTATTTTTTTTGTATTTTCTCCACACTTGACTTCTCTCTTAGATATCATCAACAATTTAACTCATTAAAAACAAAGTGGAATTTTCATGAAGTTTTCCTGAGAACCCATCCAACATACAAATCCAATAAGCACCGCTCTCAGCACATAAAGGATCACCAATTGACTCTCGAAAACTATATTTATTGCAAACGCCGTAATATACCAAGTTTTACCCTGATCTGCCCAAGAAAATCATAATTTCTAGAACACTAACTGTTTTGATGTCCTACGTCACTATTTTTAGTTTAAGATGCCATTTCTAAACCCACGTGCATAAGCATTTTACTATTTTCTTCTGAAGAGGTTACATTGCAATGTTGCATTTTCTTGGTACTACTGTTAATACCCATATAATAATTTAGGCATTGCCTTAGGCATGATAATGCGTCTCCTTATTGGTTTGCATGCATAAACCTCGTTGTTTTGTTGTTTTGATTAAGACTACGACTAGTTATTTGCTTAGATGATCTGTTTGGTTCTTCCTTCCGGCAATTTTTTTTTTCAACAGATGGAAGTGAGACTAAGTGAAGCCAGGGATATCTTGCATGAATACAAAACACAGATATGCAATGACTTGAAGCTATTTTTACAGCCTGTTCGGGGAAAGTTGCTTCAGTTTGAAGAGGAACTCAGGGACAGATAGATAGATAGTGGTAAAAGCCATGCAGTTTTTGTTCTCAATTTGAGCCGATACTTGTATTTCTAGGACAATCTCTTCCGAAATAAAAGTGCGTCAATGTCTGGACCAAAATTACAAATATGGAAATCCTCTTAGATAACTTCGAACATGAGGCCCAAGCATTTCAATTAACTTACATTAAATTATATATTATGTAGCCGTATGGTTCCGCACAAGTACGTTTGAATTTAATTTTTTCAAATCAACTTTTTTTTTTAAAAAAAAAAACACCGCTCTTATAGTTTTCAATTTAATTGAGATTTGCGTGTAATACTCAACGAAATAAAAAAAAATTAAAATATATTTTTTATTATTTTATTTATTTTTAAGATTCATTTTTATTTCATTATTTATAAATGATTAAATTTAGGTTTCTAATTTTTTAAATACGTTCAATATAATTCTTTCATTCAAATTGTCATCAACGAAATTGAATTAAAGGGCAATATTAAACATTGCTTAAAAATTAGATAACTAAATTGAATAATTTTAAAAGTGCAACCTAGTTGATCATTCCATAAATAGAGGAAGTAGAAAGATTAAATTGAATAAATATTTAATTAACATTTTTTTAGATAAATTTTAATTTATTTTATCTATTTAATGATTTATTTTATTATATAATCCTTCATTTTGTGATATTTTTTAATTCTAAGTGTTTATTTTGTTGTCATTCATGATTTTGTCAAGATACGTAAAAGAAACTTTAACTTTATTTATATGCTTTCTTTCATCTTAACTAAAAATAATAATAAAATAACATTTTATTTTCTTCCATAAATTGCAAAGAACCTAAAATTCATCTTAAAGTGTAATCATCATTTGTCTTTTTATTAAAGAAATTTTATGATTAAAAAATATTATGTAGTAAATAATATAATCTGAGAATAGTAAGAATATGTTACTGTAATCTCCCCAAAACTCAGAGCCATATCTGGACAAACTTCTGAGTGGTACTCCTCCACTTCTACTATTCTCAGAATTAAACACCATCACATTCTCTCTTGTTTTCTTGGTTTCTTACTTTCTTTCTTTGCTTTCTTTATTTCTTTCTTGTTTTATTGCTTTCTTGTTTCTTTGCTGTCTTGTTTTATTGCTTTACTTTCTTACTTTATTGCTTTCTTATTTTTTGATAATACTCTCTGGGATTGATAACTATGATGTCTCAATTGCATTGCATAGAAAAGTTTACCTTCTCCTTCAGATCACCTTATTAA